CAAAAACAAAAACAAAAAACAGATTCTAGACACACAAAAACAGAATCAGAAACAGCTTATTGGTAGCCACATTTTTTTTTTTTTCAGATAGACTCTGTTTGCTGGTTGTGAGCAGATGCATGGCTGCATTAAGAGATGGCTTCCTGGATCATGCTGGCTGTACAGGCTCTTTCCTGAAGTCCTGCTATGGAGCACTTGAATGGGGTTTGTGAGCAGTGTGCTACAAGTTACTTGGTGGCAGTGTGGACCCACTGCTTCCCAGAGTTTGGGCAGAAAACATGGCTCCCAGAGCTGGCTGTAAATATACTTCTGCCATGTTAGAAAGCCGAGCAAGGCCACCAGCAGCCAAGGCCACCACTTTGGTCCTAGCCATGGCCACTCGACAATTTAAAACAGTAATTAAAAGAAAAGATTATAGATACACAATAAAGACAGATTCAGACAAAAAGAAACCTCTAAACAGGTCACCCTATGTTTTAAAAAAAAAATGTACAAAGGCTTGGGAGAGAGAAAAAAAAAGAGTATAGACAGTTACAGAAAAAAAATCGTTTCAAAAAATAAAGTCTTTAAAGAGACAGTAAAAGTAATATAAAAAATAAGCCACATAAAGATGGAAAATACACAGCAAGTCTGGATTCTGCATATTATTGTGTTTCCTTTAAGCTGTTGAGAAACATTTGATTGTAGGGGCTACTAAGTTAAAGCAGCATATATATTTTAAAGGTTATCTTCAAAATTTAAGTCTAAGGATATGTTATCTTGGAAAAGTGGTTATGCTTTTGTTTCCATAGAAGATGAGAAGCTGTGGATTCCTTCCAGGCTAATATGGTTAGATCAAACAAGATCCCCTGAAAGGTCTCCAATGAGAAGGATGGCCCAGGTGATCCAACATTCACAATAGCTTCAAGACAACTGACTGATGGATCAACCACACAAAATACCTCAGTAAGTACTTGACCATAATTCTAAATTTTCTCAGGATCCCCATAAGATTACCAGCACCCCCAATAGCAGGAATTAGTATAGAAAACTATACCCAAATTCCCAAGATATTATTTATTATTTATGAATGCTTGTTTCCATTTAAATGGGATTGATTATAAATGGTCAATGGTCATAGTCAATCTCTTTCTAAAGAAAAAAGGGGGATATGACACAGAAATGATTGAAAAAAAGGTAGATTATTGAATCTACTTTAATCTAAAAAACAACTGTTAATCTCAAAATATATTAGTATGGATTTTGTTTATTTACACAATCTAAGGTCAATTTTTGTTATATATATATTTCTACTCTTGGCTAAGGTATTATGTTTATGCTCATTTAAAAATGTAATGTGTATAGTTAAGTTCTGTTGCTTGCTGAGCTGGGATATGGATCCTTGTTCAATTACATCTTCACTAGATTTATGTTTTTGATGTTTTCTTCACTCACTAAGCTTGGATGTCCTGGAACATAGACCTCTGTAGACCAGGCTGGCCTCAAACTCTGAGTACTCAGCCTCTGCCTTCTGAGTACTAGGATTAAAGGCATGCACACCGCCCCCCCATGCCTAGACCTAAACTGTTCTTTAATTCATTCTCACAGGTTGGAAGCTTAGCTGGGAAGGGTCTTACCCTGAGGTCACCACTCCTTTTATTCCATTTCTTAATTTACTTATCTGCTTGAACACAGAACTAAGCTCCATTCTACTTCCTGGTGCTCTTTTTCTACTTAATTTGTACATTTTCTATTTTACTTGCTCAGCTTGCTCTTTTTCATTATAGATCTCCATAAGAGTGACCATTAAAAAACACACAACAGAATCAATACTAGGCCGTTTTGAGATTTCCTCTGCCAACAGAATTAATCCAGATCTCTTCATTTTAGCCTCAGGAAGACTCTAGATAAGAGCAAAAAGCAGCCATATTCTTCACCAAAATATCACAATAGTCTCTAGGCCATATATTAAAATTCTTCTCCTCTGAAACCTCTTGAGCCAGGCCCACACAGTTCAAATCACCCTCAGCACTACCCTCTTCCATGCTCCCACTGGTATGGCCCTTTAAGCCTCAAAGTCCACATTCCTCCAAACAAATTCATGGTCAAGCCTATCACAGCAATATCCCACTCCCCCATACCAACTTCTGTCTTAGTTTGGGTTTCTACTGCTGTGAAGAGATATCATGACCATGGCAAGTCTTATAAAGAAAAACACTTAATTGGGGTTGGCTTACAATTCAGAGGGTTAGTTCATTATCATCACAGCAGGAAACATGGCATTGTACAAGCAGACATGGAGTTGGAGAAGTAGCTGAGAGTTCTACATCTGATCTCTGGCAGCAAGGGGAGACTGTTTATTACACTGGGAATAGCTTGAGCTATGAGACTTCAAAGCCTGTTCCCACAGTAACATACTTCCTCCAACAAGGCCACACCTCCTAATAGTGCCACTCCCTATGGACCCTGAGTGCCACTCATCCAAACACATGAGTCTAGAGGTACTATTTAAACCACCACACCTCCCCAAGTTGCTTTTGGTCCTGGCTTTATTACAGCCATAGAAAGCAAACTAAAAAACAGTATCATCCCAAGAGAAGTTCCCATTCTGATCAGAGGGGCAGGAGAAGGCCATTGATGGGTCCACTGGAGGCAGAACTAATCAGTGCAACTGTAAACCCTGTACTCTGCTTATTGCACCTTGTATATACAGGCCCTTGAATAAATTTGAGCCCTGAAATTGGGTTTCTTAATTCATAAGAAGATTGAGAACTAGCTGGTGTTCTTTATTCCTACATGAAAATGGAGCCCTTTAAAAAATTAATAGTGCAAATCCAATGAATTTTAAAATGTTTCAAGCAGGTTTGTGTCTGTCATTCTTAAAACTGGAGCACTTACTTATAATAGCTAATCTCAATGGGGGGGTGCTCTCTTTCTTTCCCCCTGAGATCAAGAACTAATGGGCTGATTTGGAAGATGACATCTGGAGCATCTCAGGGTGGGAATGGAGAAATTGTTGCATATAATCATACTGAGTGGTCCTGACTATATACTCTGAATTGTATAAAATTTTTAGATTAGTGGAAATCCCCATCCCAGATTTGTAAGATAAATGGTGATTCTAACTATAGATTAGGATATTTCAGTCAATCTTTGTCTCTAAATTATAGCATAATGCAGATTCCAACGTTTAGACTTACATTAAGAATGTAGGAGCAAAGAGACCCACCCACCCAATGTATAGAGGTGATAACGAAGTGCCTTTATCTGCCATACAAAACTGTTTAGCACTGTCAGCATTTTTCCTATAGTGGCACTGAACAAGCTTAATGAGGGCCAGTTCTGTCTGAGGTTGGTTCTAGTCAGGATAGAAGTTCTAGTCTTTATCTGGAATCAGTGGAATCAAGTTTTGCTAATACTAGTGGACCCTTATTTAGTCAACCTACTTTTTGGCAAAGTGAAATTAAAAGTTTTGTGTGCAAAGTATCTATTTTATGACTCATCTTCAAAGTCACTTTTTTTCTTAGATTTTATTTACTTATTTATTATGTATACAACATTCTGTTTCCATGTATATCTATACACCAGAAGAGGGCACCAGATCTCATATCGGATGGTTGTGAGCCACCATGTAGTTGCTGGGAATTGAACTCAGGACCTCTGGAAGAGCAGCTGGTGCTCTTAACCTCTGAGCCAGCTCTCCAGCCCCAAAGTTACTCTTGATAGAGCTGATGGGGATCAAACACAGGTTCTCATGCTTATGCTGCAGCATTTTACCAACTTAAGTCACCTCACAGTCTCAGCTATATCTTTGGAAAGACTAGCACCTTAACCATGAACATACATCTGTATGCTCATGGCTTCGCTTTTTTCTAGCAGAGCAGAACTACTTCAGTGAAAAATTCTTGGTTCTCACAGGCTAAACATCAGTACATCTGATTTATCCCAGACGCCACCATTAGCTTAATACAGGCTGAACTCTAACAGTTGCACACAAAGAGAACCTTAGTCTAGGCCACATGGTAGAAGACTCACAATGCAGACTCATATGATCACTGATACCTAACTGTAGCTGGTCTCAGGCCACCTCTCTTGTAGCAATGGTTCTTAAATGCAGTCAATTCTGTCAACCATGTGCCCACAGTTTGGACAGCAGAGCTGGGGACAGAAGAGAACATACTGCCTGCCCTTTTAGGTACGGGTCAGAAATGCTTCCAAACCTGTATGCACAGGGCATTCTCCCACAGCAAAGAATCATCCAGGCCCAATGGAAAAAGTACTGAAGTCAAGAAATCTTGCTGTCTACTGCCAGAAATGAAAAGTCTGCATGGTGTTAGGAGCCTAGCAGCTTAAGTGAAGCCAAACTAATTCTCTGTGGCTGGAGTGTTGGCCATAACACCAAGAACATCAGGGTTGCAAACTGTGCTTAATAAAGCGACACTGCAGGATCCAGCAGATGCCAACCCTCTAGCTACATAATCAGGACAGCTAATTCTGCTCTAATCCTTAATGCCATTGTTCTGTTGGGTAACCTCCAAGGAAGAGGAGCCAAATCAGGGTAGCAAGTGATACCCACAACTAAGAATGTTAGGGAATGATGGGACAGAAAACTTGTTTGGGAGCAAGAGGTATTAGGTGACCTGAAACCTAGGATCAACACCACCAGGTGAGATCCACGGCAGGGATGGCGATAGGCCCTGGGAATGTCCTCCTGAATGTGCAGTAAGGAGGGAAAACATGGATGTATCCTCGGCAAGGGAGATCAATCAACCTGGCCCACAGCACAACTCCAGTCCCAGCTCTTGAGCCAAGCTGTGTGATTCCAGGCAAGTCTCAAGTCTTCTTCATAAAAGCAAGAGCTGACCAGGGCTCTGCAGGCTTGGGTTCAGCTCTTACTCTCCATGTTTTCTTGTTTGGGCACATAGGAATTGAGGTAACTTTATGGTAAGAAGCCAGCATTGTACATTTATTAATTTGTAATAGCATGTGGTGAAGGAAATAAAGAACAAAAAGAACACATGTGGTTTTACACCCTCAGGAAAACTTTAATTGGATAATCACTCATTCAACAAACACCAACAAGCACCTTCTTTGAATAAGATATGAAAACTTCTACATTTCAGTTTTTAAAAATGTATTTTAAACAAACCGGGAGCTCTTAAAAAGTTTATTTCCTGGGATTTACAGCCGTTAACATTCAGCTCCCCAGTGAAGTTCCTCGCTGTGTTCACACAGGACAGATGGGTTTCCATTAGCTAATATGCTTCCAGGTGGTGCTGACACAGCACAGATTTGAATATTCCTCTCTGTGGGAAGTAGAGGTGCAACTTCTATACTTAACCCGCCGAAAACCTGCTACTACAACTTTCCTTATAGCCTTGGATTTGCATGGATCTAAAGTCAATGCTTGGAGAATAAATGAAGACAAGTAAACAGGAAACTTTAGCACAAGAACCTCATTCTGCAGCTCTAGTTCTTGTTCAACTCTGCAGGCTATGTTCACAGAGCTGACTCCTGGCCTTGGCTGTGCTCTGTACTGGTAGACCAGAAAGCCTCGGCTTCTGTCGTGATACATATTTGTTTTTCTGATCTTCAGCTTGAAGCTTGAACCCCAATATCAATCACTGGGTCTTTTTTTTTTTTTTTTTTTTTTCATGTTACAGACTTCAACAGCTATATCTTCAAAAAGGCCACCTGTGGGGAGAAGAAAAATCACAATGTTTTACTAATAGAACATGTGGGATGACTGGATACACATCAAATCTGATGAGGAGGGCAAATCTGGACAACAGGAAACATACCAATCTCCCAATATCAGAAGAAGTGACTCAGGCGAGGCAGATATTGGATTTTACAGCAAGAACCAATCAATCTTTTTTGTTTGTTTTTGTTTTTTTGTTTGTTTGTTTGTTTGTTCAAAACAGGGTTTCTCTGTGTGGCTTTGGAGCCTATCCTGGCACTCGCTCTGTAGACCAGGCTAGCCTCAAACTCACAGAGACCTGCCTGCCTCTGCCTCCCAAGGTCTGGGATTAAAGGCGTGCACCACCAATGCCTGGCCCAATCAATCTTTTTTTAAACAAACCAACAAGTAATTAGAATGACTCACATCCACTTTAAAGAAAAACAATAGAGTTTTAATTGACAGTAATGAAGTAATCTAGTTCATGTTCCCATTGGTTCAAACCACTCTTTTAGATATTCTGTTAGCAGAATTCTGAGTTTAGAAGATTGCCAGGCAATTCTACATCCTTAACACTGTTGGTAGGCACATCATCTTCTCCTCAGGTCATGCTGATACTTTTAATCATATGCAATTATACTTGTTGTGTTTGCCAGTTGCAATTCATCTTAACCCAGTGTTCAAAAGAAAACTTAATTCATACAGGCTTATGTGCAAAATATTTTCAAACTATCAACAAACACTTGGAACTTCCCAATAGTTCTAATAACAGAGAAACAAGCAATGATAACCAGCCATAAATGTTTACAGAATTTTAGTTCAGAGGTGACAATAAATTGGGAACAGTGGTAACATGGGGAAGAGAGTCAAACACAGAGATAATGCTGACCAGAGAGGAAGGTTTGGGAAGCTTTGTACTAGGCCAAACAGAAGTGAAATCACCATTCTTAGAGACACTTAGAGAAATGTCAATGACATCAGGGAAGCTGGTGCCTGCATTCCAGCTGCAGTGTAAGGGGCATGCAGTTAACGATCCCTGTTACAAGGAAAGGAAGAAGGCAGAGCCCTGCAGTGCAGAAGGCATTGGCTTTATGGAGAGCGCATCAGAGGACGTTACTCTTCATATGGTGCAGGAAAGAAAGCGCCTGCTGAGTTTCCATAACCACTTCCTGCTGAGCTCCTACATCAAGTTTTATGATGAGAGCACCAAAGTTGAGGGAACAGGCAGGGAAGAAGGGCTACAGTTCCTAAATAACTCCTAAACACAGGACAATTACAACTGGTATAAACCTCCAGGGCTTTCTGTGATGATCAGATGAGATAATAGGCTGGGTAAGGGTGGGAAATGTGTTTTAGGGCAGGCCAGGCTCTATAAGTGTGTGTAAACTAGCCTGAGCCACATAGTAAGAGCCTATCTCAAGAACTATGAATTCATAATAAAAATAGAATGGTTATTAAAAGATAATATGCTACATAAATTCAAGTGATTTTTCCTTCTCCGTCTCCCACTTTTCACTGTTACCAGATGGGAAGGGGCATTCAAGAGAGATTCATGTGTATCCCATTAGGGATAAAGAAATGATCATAGAATTAGATGGGTTGGGAGACCATAGGTCACTGAGTCTGACACAGGGTCCACTGAGGGCAGTGATGATTATGCTTCTATGCAGTCTGCTGGGAGATAAAATACAACACCTAATAAAGACAAAATCAGTTATCTCTTTACATTCTGCAAATTACAATGCCAATGAGTATTTAAAAGAGCAATGGACACCATCGTGAAAGTGGCTAGGAAATTCAGCTATGAAGACCCTGAGACAGTCATAGTTGTCAATAACTGGGAGGCGGTGGTGACTGACATCTAACAGGGGGAGGTAGAGTTGTTGTTCAGTGTCCAAAAAATCACAGGACAGCCCCCTCAAATATCCCCAAATGTCAATAGTACAGTGCTGAGAAATGCTGTAATTACAGAATCGGTTTGTGAAAGCAGATCTCTCATTGACTACCTCTGTGACCTGTAATAGGCTGGTTAACCTCTTTCCATCTTCCCATACCTGCAAGATGGGGATTGCAAAAGGCCCACCTGAAACCTGTAAAGCACTCTATAGTGTAGGAGGACGCTTATTTTGACTCTATTTGCCCTGAGCACAGCCCTAGGATTAAGGCAGAGCAGAATTTGAAATACTGGTTTACAAAAGAATAAACAAGCTCAGAAAAAACTAAGTGACTTCCTCAGTGCACAAAATCTGTCAAAGGGTAATGGTGGCCTCAGGATAAACTCTGATTTGAAACCCCTACTTTTCTCACAATAACCTTGGAGATAAATGAGAAAAAGCTAGAGGCACAGGGACCTGGAATCCTACTAACTCCTCAAACATCAAAAGACATCTTTGGTTTCCCACGCTTGTGATGGTGAACTTAACACAGAGAACAGTAATACTAGAGGCTACACTGACCAAATAATGCAAAGAAGCCCCTCCCCCCACACACACACCAAATAAGAAAACCCTGAAATTTTGACCTAAAGAGTTTTTATCTCTAGTTTTGTTAGCTTTCCTTACCAAGTGCATTATGTACTTTCTAGGTCTCAATAACAAAAACCCATATCCAAACTTGGGGGCAGGTACTGCGTGATGCTTTGTGGTCCCTTTTTATTTAAGTCACTGTGAATTAGCTATTTCAAAAGCTGATTTTGCATTCTCTAGCTTTTATCTGTGACAGGAAAAACTGCTTCCATTACTGCCATTCATTTTGAGAAAGGATAATTTTTCTGCTTTTATGATGCTGAGAAAATCCTGGTTTAAAGCTTTCAGGCCACACGAATAATACAGCTGCACCTCCAGGCTCTGCGGGCTCTTGCATTTCTGGAAATACAAGTCACAAAGTGTAAACAGTGACTTCAGACATTGGAAGAGAGGACTCTGTCCATGGTCACAAGATGTGACTCTGTGGTCCATGCAACCGAATATGGACAGTTGGAAGGTAGCTAAGAGATTTAATGATATTGTCCCCGCTTTGAGTCATCTAAAGACAATTATCTTAAAGGACAATAAACAAAATGGACTAATGGAGCGGTGGACCAAAAGTTAAGTCTATAATGCTTCAGTTACATGTGAGCAACATGGTAAACATTGAAAAACATCCTTTAATCTTAGTTTAACAGAGCTATATTCATTGTGATGGAGATTTCAGTCAATAAAAAGACATGTTGTCAAAGCAGGCCACACGAGATACAGTTTTTGTTTTTTAAAAGCTATCTAAGTGCTTTGGGGTATGTTAAATCCAATAAGACTGGAAAATACTGAAAATTTTGAGTTCCATAATTGCAGGTTTTGATTTTTTTTTTTTTTTTTTTTTTTTTGGTTTTTCAAGACAGGGTTTCTCTGTGTAGCTTTGAAGCCTGTCCGGGCACTCGCTCTGGAGACCAGGCTGGCCTCGAACTCACAGAGATCCGCCTGCCTCTGCCTCCTGAGTGCTGGGATTAAAGGCGTGCACCACCAACGCCCGGCAGGTTTTGATTTTTTTTATAGTTTTAATTTTACGGGTATGAGTGGTTTTGCCTGCATGCATATGTCTAGTGTCCACAAAAGTCAGAAGAGGGTTCCAATGACCTAGAATTGGAATTAGAGACAGTTGTGAGCTACCATGTGCATTCTGGGAATGGAACCTGGGTCCAGCCAGTGCTCTTAATAACTGGGCCATCTTTCCAGCCCCTCATAACTGCAGGCTTTCAAAAGGATTCTATAATAAATAATTATAGCTATACATACATGTCTCTTTTAAGGAGTGCTGTTAACATAAAGTAGATTGGCTTTTTGTTAAAGCAAGAAAATTTTATATTTTATGCTTTGTATGTTAAAATAAAGCTTATATTACAATATAGTTCCTAAGATCCAAACTCCATTTACAAAATGAAAGATAATTGAGAATACAAAAATAAATTTAAAAAATCTGACTTTTTCTAGCATTGATCAAATATGTTTGGCGTGTTAAAGTAATACTGGGATTAAGTAATTTTCCTGACTCCCTGGCTCAGTATTTCTCAGGGGACTATTGACAGCACCTGCACCTACCTGAGTTGGCTACGTATAAGAAAGTCCTTCCTCAGGGCTGGTAGGCTGACTTCTTTTGTCCATTGGTTCAGTGTCTGTTTTATGTCACTGACTGTCCCAGTAACAACCACACTGAGAAAAAAGGATTCCCTCATGGTGCTCACACAGGAGTGGGGACCAGTCAAGCAATGACATGACCTAATACGGTGGATATGTTTAAGATGAATGCCTAACACCTGCTGGGGGAAATCACCACCAGAGTTCTGAAAAGAAGACAGACTTCTAAAGCGGTTCCCTGAAGGACATAATTATGACTCTAATTATCAGTTGTGTGCTGAAAAAAACAGACAGTGGAAGTTGGCACGACAAAGAGTTTGGTGCATACTGATTCCCACTGAAAGATGCTGCCTTTCTAAAGGGATTCTAGCAAACAGTCGGAGGACAAGTCACTGCTTTGCCAACAGGCAGAGGCTACTGGTACATTTGACTAGACTATCAAAGCTTAAGCACAGCCTTCCAACTACAGGGGCTCTGCAAAGTCTCAGCAGAGACTTTCAAAACGTGGGGGCGGAGTGAGATGGTATCTGTGGATTAATATAATCCTTCATCTGGGATATTTCTGTAAGTTGTGGTATACACTGTGATGACTGGCATAAAACTCAAAAAAAAAAAAAAAACCAACAACAACAACAAAAAACCTTGGTTTTCATGTACCAGGGGAATAGGGAAGCCAGGCTACTAGAAGAAGGGCAGGGTGGCTCCATCTGAAGATGGGGCAGAAAGTGCAGACCAACACATCAGCCACTTGTCGGAGTTCTAGCCTTCCATAAAGGAAGTAAGTTCAGGGCAATTATCATTTCTTTCAGAACATGCAGATTACGGAAGGCACTGCCATTCCTGGACAGAGCTACTGTGACACTGGAGTGAAGTGGCAGTTCTGAAAACACCAGTTACATAAAGCA